TTTTAATCACAGCGTTTTTCTTTTAAAGCACTTCTTTTGCATTTTTTTTCCTAAAGAAAAATTAAACTTTTTTTTTTTTTGGTATTGGGGATTGAACTCATGACCTCATGCTTACCAGGCAGGCACTTATACCACTGAGCTAAGTCCTCCCCCCACTAAAAAAAAAGAAAAATTAAACTTCCACATTCACCAGTTGCCCAGTTCTTTGAATGCAACAATAAAAGCCTAGAAAAGATTGCAACTGGTGGTCAGTACAATACCCAGTAACATCACCAAGGAGTCTCTCTCTGTCAGTCACCACCAACTCCACCAGCCTTTGTCCTTGGTGAGCACGAAACTGCTTAGCAACTGCAATGCCAGGAATAGCCAGCAAGCCAAGTCACCACCGCACATCTTCCCTGTAATCTCTGCCAGATTTCTTCTTTCCCTTAGGGCCCACTGTCTGCGATCCTCATCCTGGTACCAATTTCCGTATCAACTGAAGTTCTTTTGCCTGCAAGCTATAGCAATATTGTTTTCAGTACCAGGAATTGAACCCAGACTTTTGCACTGAGCTACCTCCCCAACCTTTTTGAGACAGGGTCTTGCTAAATTGTCCAAACTTGCAATCCTGTAGTCTAAGCTTCCCAGAGTGATAGGTTTTCAGGCTGATACTCCAGCAACTTATTTTGGCTAGTGAAAACAAACAAACAAAATTAGCAAAAGATAGCTGAATGGTTTGTGAAATGATCCACCACACCTCGGGAATGACAAGACCCAAGGATTCTCAGTAGCATCATCTCATAGTTTTTTTAGGATGTCAAAGACAGAAGAGCTCTGCCCCATCTGCTTTAAACTAGTGCAGACTCTGCTGAAGATACTGGGTGCCAGGACAGAGCCTGATTGGCTGACTTGGGTCATGTGTTCACCTTTGGGGGTGGAGCTTCATTCTAATTGGAACCAGGTAAAATAAGAAAGTTTTCCCCAAAGAAAGACCAGGGTGGTGGTATCAAAAGACAGGTCAAAGATGCTGCCCAGAGAAAAACAAAGATATTCAGAGGACCTGACATGGCTGCCCATGGCTCCCACTGTGCATTCTTGCAGACCAGCAGCTGAACCCCCTGATCATCCTTCATGATTCCTGCTCTGGTGACAGCTCATTTCCACAGCTCTACTTGAAGGATTCCCAGGAAGAAGTAGTTGTCCCCTCCTCCATGACTATCTGGTACTCAGCAACACACCTCTGCTACCAACACGCACACATCCACACATCGCTGATCTGTGCCCACTGAAATCAGCATGGAATCTCTCATCTCAATTAACACAACATTGGAAACGTGTTTGCCAGATCCAGTGTGTTGAATTCTTTTCTCACTGTGTCAAGACTTGGGAACCAGCAATTTGCACCTGTTTTGAGCATCTCCAGGCAACTCTGTGGGGGAACTTGCTACTGTCCTGGCAGTTTCTCTGTGACTTCTGGCAGCTTTGCTATTTGTGTTGTAAGATTTTATTTGCTTTGGTTTTGAGTTCTTTGTTTTGTGTATCCTTATCTTGCTGGGTTTTCTTCCAATCTATCATTTCTCTTTGTATAAAGGAACTCAAGCCTTTGTTGTGTGTTCTGGCTAGCAGGAAGGCACACATGTCCATTCTTCACATGCTGGCTTTCTGAATGTCACTCAAATATCATTCAACAACTTACGACAGCAAAACTCATATTTTGAATTAAAAATCTGGAACTTACAGAAAATATTCCCAGCACTGTCCAGTCCTAGTTGAGATTCTTCTGGATTTTTTTCTGAGAGTAATATAGTTTGGGCTCCACTGGACTGGTTTTACTGGATTGATTTGGATTTCGTTTTTTTCCCCAACATCACAAGAGTGAGCCCTTCTCACCCACTTTCAATTTCATAGTCATTCTGGATTTTTTAAAAGATGGTTCTAGAAATGCTCTTGTTTCTGCAAACACAGAAGTGAGAAGGACATGCCATGATTTCTTCTGCAACATCTTTTTTGCCTTGTTAGTTCCTGGTCAACAGAACCCAGATTTTAATTTGGGATGCCACCCTTTCCCTATTGCATAGCCATTGTACACTTGAGCGACCTATTTCCCCTTCCTCAGGTTCAAAGTTGGGCCCCCAAGGAAAAGACAATCAGTTTCCATCTTTTCCCTTTTGCAACAAGGATCAGGCCAACCAGGTCCTACAGGACAGAGCTGAAAACTGTGTGATGCCTGGAAAATCTTACTTCCTATTTTCTCCAATGGGAATGAGGAAACAGAAAGCCCTGGTGGTACATGCAGCCTTCTGCCAACCGTAAGAGAAGTCAGCTCATGAACAGAGGTGATACTGGAAAAAAGCAAGAGGGGAAAAACTGCAGAAGAAACAGAGCCAGCATCTCGATCTAACTGTGTCAGAAATCTCCCTAAGCTGCAGAATCCTCACTGGCTTTAGCCAATACCCCTGGTTTTGCTCTGCTTCTAACCCTAGCACATAGTAGGTCCTCAAAGAGTTTACTGACCAAATGAGCAATTAATTCTTCCAGGATTTATGGTCTGTGGGATCCTTAAAGTTGTGAGGGAAACCACAGAAGGCACACCTTAGGAGCTGAGGAAATGAGAGGTGTGTCTTATTAGAAATAGGAGTCATTTGTTTTTGGCATTTTTATTATTAGGATGACAGTGATGATGTTGTTGATGATGATGATGACAAGATGACTAAGCTAAAGGACATATTTATATCAAAAGAGGAAAGACAGAGCTGAGAGCCTGGGCTCTGCTCCATCCACTCACCTCTGCCCTGGTCTCCACCCCAGCTTCCAAGCCAACCATCCATCATCCCCCATCACTTCCACCCATCATCCCTACACCCCCACCCTGGCAACTCCCCCAGTCAGCTCCACACCCCCCATTTGTCAAGTGAGGATAACAATCCTGCCAAAACCCTGGCAGTCCTGGCCCAGTTGCATGCTCTCCCTAGGAGGGGAGGTGCTTTGACCTAAGGACAGCAGATGCCTTGTCTGTGGCCTGGTAAGGGCAGGAAGAGAGAGCAACATGGTATTTGTGGGTTCTTCCTGAGGGCAAAACCTCCTGTTAGGTGCTTTCCACCTCTCATTTTCTTTCTGTCTGGTCTACTGCCCTGAGCTTTATGAACAATGGAGCTGGGCTTAGGAAGGTCATGGTCATGTGGCCCCAAAGTGGAGAAGCTGATGCTTTCTGCCACACTGCACGGATGGGGTGAAAACCGTCATGCCAATGACCTTTCCCAGATACCTAAAGCTGACCTCCAGGCCCAGGTCCTACCAACACTGCAGCATAACAGCCTTGAAGTTGCTTTGTTACCCATGCCAGGCTCTGGCCAACATCCTTGCTTTCTCTGCCAGAGGGACAGAGGGGCTTGTCAGCCCCCATCTTTAAAAAGGATCACAAAGGCGATTGTCTCTGACACCTGGCACTCCCTGGGGAACAGCCCTGCTGTGTGGCAGGAACAGTTGTGACCAAGCCTCTGCAGGAACCAAAGCTAATTTTCAAGTGTTTGAAAATCCTCAGTGACTCACTGTTTGGGCTCTGGTGACCCAGACCAGGAGCCAGGGGCTGCTAGGAGCTTCCCTCATTAAAATCAAAGGAAACAGTGAGCAAAGAGCAGCCCCCGCCCCCCAGGAGACTGTGACTCATGCTTGCTGGGTGCTCTGGGCCAGATGGAATCCCCTCTCTGGTCCCCTGCCCCAAGTTTCTCCACCACAGGGTGAGACCCAGGAAGGAGGGAGACCCAGTGGAGTCATTAGCATGCGCAGAAGGGCAGGGCAGGAGTTGGACTGAGGAACCATGCACAGCCTATTTACTGAACTTTAAGCCCCAATTGAGGCCCAGCTATCTGTGTGGCTCAGCCCTCTCTGCCCTGTCTCCAAGGCGACACCTCCCCAAGGGCTCCAGCCTTCAGCCGGAGCATTTTGTGTCTGGATTCCTTGCTGTGACTCCCAACCACTGGCAGCTCCTGGGTCTCCTCTACCAGAAAGAAGGCTGAGCCAGGCCTCAAATCAGGGACAGAAGCCAGGTTTCACTCACAGACTCAGAGTGACCTCGCTCAAAAAAAAAAAAATAAAAATTAAAGCTTGCATTTTACAACTGTGTTAATGTAAAGACAAATATAACCCAGACTGGATTATACTCATTGTTCTTCTGATTTTTATAAGGTAAAAATAGAAAATTTTGGAGGGCACCCCAAAGTTTCATGGGTCCTGGGCACTTTGGGTTTCATGGGTCCTTTGGCTAGTGGGTCGTTTATCCTTCTGGGGTAATCCTTGGGGATGCCTAAGCCCAAATTATGGCTCACTATTTATTTGGGCATGTGCTCCAGTTTTCTCCTTGGAGAATGGGAGGGCTATTGAGGGCTTGCAGAGATCCTGGGGTGGAGAGGGTTGGCACGGTGCCTGGCACATACTCAGGGAAGGCCAGCTGCTTAGAGGCAGGAAAGCTGAAGCTCTAAGCAAGGACCTGCCCAAGACCATGTAATAAGCAGAAGAACCAGGACTGGCCACAGACTCAGCAGCTCTCAAACCCTGCGCACTGACAGAAGTGGATGGTCAAGTTATCCCAGTTGCAGGTGGGGGGCAGGGAAGACAGGGAGGACGTCGTCGTGCCCTGTGGAACCCCGTGGAAAATGACAGGCTTGGTACGGGCCCTCCCAGGCTGGGAGAGCTGACATCTCCCCGCCTCTCTGGGTCTCAGGTGCAGAATTGGTAAAATAGGACAGAGGAAGAGATACCAAGAATAAAAAGCATAGCCGCTGGTCCTCAGCGCAATCCATGGGAGCTAGGACGGCGATTTTGAAACAGGCAGGTAACGGGAAGGATGCAAGAAAAAGGAACCCACGGGATGGCCCCCACCCTCACTTCCATGCTGCCTGGAAGCAGGGCCCACAGGCCCCAGCTTGGCCCCTCCCCTGGGGACTGAGCCAGAGTGTCAGGCCTGGAAGAATCATTGCATCACTGGACACTCAGGGGTTAATGATGGGGAGTGGACAGGACCTGGGTATTTAACTAACTGGGAGGTGCCCTGAGATCAGAGGCGACCCTGCTCCCTTTGTTCCACTGCTGCAGGCTCCTCTGCACCCCTCCAGGATGAAACCTCCCCCGGTCCTGACCTTCCTTTGTGTCCTGGGTAAGTGACCTCCATGACCTTTCCCATCCTCACCCCTTCTGGCAACCCCAAGCTCCCTGGACGTCCCTGGCTCTACAGAGGCTGTCATGGGTACAAAATGTCAAAGGTCACCTTCTTCCTGCCACCAACCAGGGTGCTCCTGAGGCCAGTTTATCCTAAAATAGTGGTGGCGAAAGGAAAACAGAGGAGAAGGAAGCCTGAGAAAAAGCAGAGGGCAGGGCCATCCACATAGGCTTCCTCCCCATCGTGCCTTCCATTTCTGGTCCAGCCTGCTCAGTGGACATCTCCACCCCCACCAAGACTGAATCAGAAGAACTCTGGGCAATTCAGAGAGATTCATTAAGGTCACATGGAAATATGTCCAGAGGTGTCCGGGGCGATCTGGGGGCGGGGGACAGAGTTCTTCTGGGGGAGACAGGGGCCAACATCTGGGCAGAAGATGATGGCTGTTGGGGAGAGGTTTGAAGAGCCAATGGGAAGGCCCCAGAAGGAGCGAGTGAGTGGCATTCTGGGAGACAGTAGGGGGCACATGGAGTGGGTGACATGGACATGATGGGGTGGGGACTAAGGAATAAAGGTGCAAAAGGTGCCATTTGAGGTATTATTGACTGTCACTGGTATTGGCAACTGGGTGCTTTGTGGAGGGCAATTTAACTAGACAAGTGAGATGCTTGGAATTAGATTTGAGGAGACCTCAGGGTGGGACCCCACAGGAGATTTCAGTGGCCCTGAGGGATCTGTTGGCCTCTGCCCTCTCCACAGTGGCTCTGGCCAGCGGGAACCTGGTCCAATTAGGGATAATGATCGAAAAGATGACAGGGAAGTCAGCACTGCAATACAACGACTATGGCTGCTATTGTGGCCTCGGTGGCTCCCACTGGCCTGTGGACAAGACCGATTGGTGAGGAAGTGCCCAGCCGGGGTCCCCTGGGTGGAGGGAGGCCTGGAGCACCCCAGGAGGAGGAAGGACCTAAGGGCACCCGGATGCAGTGACTGTCCTTGTCTTGTAAGCTCCTTTGGGCCCTGGGTCCTGGGCAGCACCGGGTCCAGCCCAGCCTGACTCACAGGCCCCTACAGGTTGACCATTACCCCACAGGTGCTGCCATGCCCATGACTGCTGCTATGAGCATGTGAAGAATCTGGGCTGTGAACCCAAAATGGAGAAGTATTTCTTCTCTGTAACCCAGGATAGCATCATCTGTGGTAAGAAAAGAGCCTTGGACTGGACGCAGACACGGGGTGGGGTGAGACAGGAAACCCCTCCTGATAATGATTTTGACCTTGTCAGGGCCAGAATCTGGCTGGAGATGTTTCCCATCATCACCTAAGAGGAGAGAGGCCTTGGGCTGGGGTGTGGCTCGGTGGTAGAGAGCTTGCCTTGCATGCACAAGGCCCTGGGTTTGATCCCCAGCACCAAAAAAAAAAAAAAAGAATAGAGAGGCCTTCTCATCTGTCCAGATACCCACTGGGCACTGGTGCTAGAAAACCCCATTGCCCTCCACTGCAGCCCCATCCCGCCTCAGCCCCAGTGCTCTCTCCCCACCTAGAGATACCTCCCAGCTCCACTCTGGGGAGGACACAGAAGGGACCAAATTGAGCCACATCTGCAGCACCTGAACTCACACCCATCCCTAGGATGGAGCCATCTGGAGCTTAAACTTGGAACTGTTCCCAAGAGTTGACTTCCCTATTAGGGCTGTCAGACTGGGCCCATTTTTCTCTGCTCTGCCATATCCAATGCCCATGTGGACCAATTAGGTTTCTTCTAGGGCCTGACAGGGGAAGAAGCCTACATCAAGAGAGTGCGGAGGGTGTGCAGATCAAAGGACCAAGCCTTCTTCCTGCTGTAGAGTCAAGCACACCCTGGAGGGAGGGCAGGGCCCAGCAAGTGTGGGGTGCAGAGAAGGACCTGGGATGTCAGCCCAAGGCAGAGCTGACTCAGAGCTTCTTTTTCTGCAGTGGTCCGTTCAGCAGGGCAACTTTGTTAGGTAGTGAGCTCCCCATCGCCAGGGGTTCATGCAATCAGCTATTAAGATGGAATGATCAGCTGTTAAGATGGTGCTGAGAGATCAAGTGGAGGGATGTGTCAGGTAGGTGAGATACATGGTCTGGGTTCTTCTCAGGGCTTCACCTTCTGCCCACCATGTGACTTTGGACAGGTGACAGGTGACAGCCCCTAGAAAATGTCTACTTGGGGCTGGGGATATAACCTTGGTACAGCACCTGTCTGGCAAGTACAAGGTCATGAGTTTGATTCCTGGAGAAAAAAAAAAAGGAAATGTCTACTTCCTCAGTTATAAAGTGGAAATAATCATGCCCACTTCCCAGCTCAGTCCAGCTGCTAATGAGAATCCCAAAAGAGGCTATCAAGACACCAAACCCCTTCCACTTCGAGTCCTGGCAGGACTGGACAGAATCCTGTGGGAACTGAGGCTCCTCCTCAAGTGAGAAGAGCAGTCCCTCAGGAGCTCAGGAGCACAGATGCCAGCTGGCTCGGGGAGGGCAGGGTGGGAAAGTCTGACTTCCATGCAGGGAATAGGCAGAAAAATAGGCTCAGTCCACTCCAATGGGACAGACAGAGGCCCCTGAGCAGGCCTCAGCTTGGACTAACAGCACCAACCTGGACACAGGTCACTCAGGGGCTCACACAGGCCATCTGGGGATGATTGCTACATTTCTTAGCTTCCCTCCACTTATGGCCACAGTGCACCATCACAGGGGAAGATGTACCTTGAAGTCCCTCTGGGCAGGGGCAGGTGACAGTGAGTAATCTCTATGCAGAAGAGAACTAAGGGTCATCAAGGGCACTGGTGGGAGGACGGAGGGACACAAGCGCAAACTTCTGGCTCTCCCTGGGCCCCAGCAGGCCGTCCCATGCCTTGCCCTTGCCTCTCACCCATCCTTGATACATGCCCCAAAAGCAGGGGCCCCATCAGTACAAGGTGGTAGGGTCAAGGGCATGGACCCGCAAGCATCCAGGAGCCGCCCCACTTGTGTCTGAGAGCGGGAGGCCTGAACCTCCATCCATAACCATCCACAGTCCCTGATTGCCTTGTCCCATCCAGCCGGCAGGACCGCCTGCCAGAAGCAGACCTGCGAGTGTGACAAGAAGGCCGCGCTCTGCTTTCGCCACAACCTGGATACCTTCGACCGCAAATATGTCAATTACCCCAACAAGCTGTGCACAGGGCCCACCCCTCCCTGCCCCGCTCCCTGCACCAGCCGCAGACTGCTGTAGTCCCAGGCCAGGGGAAACTTGGAACCAAACCTCTCCCTCTGCAAAATTCCCTTCCTGCAAAACTTTTCCCCAGAGCTCCCAGGCTGTGGCTTCCTGGGCCACCCTTTCTTGCCAGGAATAGAGCTCCAGGAGCTGTGGGACGCTCTGGCACCCATAAAACTCACCAACCCACCCCTGGGATCTTGTTCCATCTTCTGAATAAGCAAATGTTTCCCTATAATTTCCGTAATATTCTTTGATTCTCAGATTCTGATATCCTAGGATTTAATGACTACAGTTTCATTCATTCTCATTTTGAGCATCTGCCCTGTGTCAGCCCCACACTAGGCACCAACACGGTGGTAACAAATCTGACACAATGGCCCCACCCACAATGCCAACATTAAGTCCCTTTACTTTTCCATAACCAGAAGTTTCTTTGACTCCTTCTTCTCTAAGCTTCTATAATCTTTTATCCAAGATAATCATGGCAATTTCTGGGAGGAATATTTCTGGCCATGTGGTTTAATGTGAAAGGCATGAAAAATACCAGCCTAAAAATATTGTCCTGTCATCGAGCCTCAGAACTACACCACTGGCAAAAACTGCTTTAGAGAGCAAAGTAGCTCTAGATGCATCTTCTCCAACCGCCCCCCTGTCAACGATAGGCATCTGGGGGTCAAAGAGAGGATGTCCTTTGGGGGGGGTGATCCTCATCCCAGGTCCTTCATTTCTTCCAAAGAGTGGCATCCGTCACCAACATTCTATGGTGGTCACCTTGAGATGGCATCAGCCACCAATATTCTATGGCAGTCACCTTGAGATGTCCAGGACAGGTCAGCTGTGTGCAGAGGCAGCTGGGCCAGACTCCTGACAGCAAAGAAAAAAGAGTTTAATAATATGGGTCAACTGAAGGATTCCCACCAGGAGACACACAGCCTATCCTGGAAGCGATCTGCTCTGGCCGATTTTACTCCGAACTACAGGGTATAGCATCTCCGCCAGCTACAAGATGCAAATGCCACCCTACAGGACCAGGATCAGGTAAAGGATGTTCAAAGGCAGTATGCGAGCAAAGCTCACAGCCCAAGCCCACTAAACATAGATGTGTGACCTGTCCACAACAGTCAGGACTAAGAAGTCAAAAGGATGCTTGGTCAGGAACTTCAAAAGGCAAAGACGCTCTGTGCTAACAAGTGAAGTTGGAAATGTGCTCTTGCTGCTGTGACTCCAATCCCTGGAGAAGGCAGGGTCTTGGAGCAAAAATGGCTTGCATGGAGATAAGCGGGACTCTTATCAAGATAGGTGGTCCTGAGGCGCCCTCTGGTGCCCATTTTATATTAGGCAGAAACCTAAATTTGTCTCACACCTGGATTTCCTGTCCAGTGGGCAGTGTGCTTATGAGCTAGTAAAACTTCCGGGTTTGCATTTCAATAATAAATATGCTGATAGGTCACGAAAAGAATACGTAGCAACAACCTTAGGATGGTGGTTCCTGTACAAAAACAGGAAACTCGGGGCAAAGGAGCTGAGGTGGGTGGGATGGAGAGCTTACCTCTGAGGACGATGGGTTTCCAGGACAGTGGGAGAAGTACCTGGTGCTCTTATAGTTGTGGAGCCATCCAACAAGCTGAAAAGCACAAGTCAGGAACAAGACCTCAGTGCAGCCTCCTGTGACTCCTGTTTCCTCCCTAACCAAGCTGTGGGCTCGCTGGCCACAGTCCAGCCTTATCCTTTTTTCCCCCAGGGCTCAATAAACGATCAATGAATGAATCAAATAGTCTGTCTAAATTCTACCCGCACATGTGGGTATCCATAGTGCAAAACTTTGATTTCCAGAAGCAGACTAGACCTTTGTTCTCCCACTGTGCCGTAGACCTCACTACTCACTGGGGCCCCTTGGGTGGCAACAGTGGCATCTTATTGGGAAGGCAGGAACCTTGATCTGACCCCAGGCCTGATGAGTCAGAATCAGTGGGTTAAAAAGACCTTTGAGCGTACATATGAAAATCTAAGGCATGCTGATAAAGGGTCATGGCCTTTGTCCCCACATTTGTAAGGAACAGTGATGCTTCTCTGGCAATTTGGTTTTGGCAAGATTTAAATAAGTCAGGACATATAAATGCGCAGTTATAAACCTAGCACATAAATAACAGGCACATCTGTGTCCTGTGAATGAATGAACGAACAGACGAATGGATGAAACAGCATAACAATGGTAGGCAACGTTTATTAAGCACTTGGTATTTTTAGGGCACTGTTGCGGGGGTTACGTGTATAAATTCACTCTATGGAATGAGGGAAAGAAGGAAGATGAGTCAAAGCAGTGATCAGTGCTGAGGAGGGCACATTGTTACCTGAATGTTTCATAGCTTGCCTCTCCCATTTCAATGACAAGATTTATACTGGTTTGCTTTTGTTTCTATTTAATTCCTACCAAGCGATGTATGAAGTGTGTTCAATTAACTTGATGAATAAGTGATTAGAAAGCACAATGGAATTCCTGAGCTAACCAAAGACTGATTATGATTTCACAGACATGTGTCTGCTTCTTTGGCATCCCTTGCGGAGAACCGAACTGAATATTTTATTGAAGTTCCTTCTTTTGGTGGGGGTACTGGGGATCGAACTCGCAACCTCGTGCTGTGCCAGGCAGGTGCTTATGCCACTGAGCTAAATCCCTGGCCCTAATGCTCCTTCTTTCCTTTGATAAGTTTTTTACAAACTATGCTTCTGGACTCTTTTTGATGGATTCTAGAGATAGAGAAAAGTTAGACATGGTTAACTGGCAGATAGACAGCACATATTCTACACGAGTAAGTTCTAGACCAAAGCTAAGGAGAGTACCAGGATCAAAGCTCTAGGGCCTCCATTCTCCACCTAGTCTCCACTCTGACCACTGATGGCTGACCATGATTTCCATCATATCGCGCCTCCGTCCCCTCCCAAAACCATCAGCAGCTCAGTATTGTCCACCAGCCGCTGGCATTCAAGGCTGGGCACCATCTGCCTTTCTGCCTCTAATCCAACCATACGGGCTTCTCACCCCTGCCACAAATATGCCCACGGCTCCCACATCTCTATGTTCTTTTGTGCAGCTGATTTTCTCCTCCTCTCTCCCCTGCTCACACATGCACTGGGTGCTTTACAAACTCTGCCTTTTCCAGCAGGAGAGTCCAAGCTCCTCTGAACTGCCAGGCAATGGGCTTAGACCTTTCCTAGAGCTGCTTACCCAATTATGTGGATTCTCTACCATGGAGCCATGTGGCCTTGGTTTCAAACCTGCCTCAGTTACCAATCTGTGTTCTCTGGCCAATTATTTATGTCAGTAAAATGGAGATAGAAGCCTCAGCCTCACTAGTTAAGATTGAGACAATGAACTCAAAGTACCTGGCACATTAATATAGACACCCCATCTATATCCCTCATTTTTACCTCCTCTATTGCATACATTACACTGATGCGAAGTATCTGCTCAGTTGACTCCAAGAGCACGTGACACCTAGAATTATTCTAAGGAAGTGGCAGCATAAATACTACACTAATTCATCTGAATAGCCGCTGGGCTACTATCTCTGAGCACTTATTTATCTTAAATGAACCCCATGCATTTGAAAACCACTATGAACCTTGGATGTCCTTAAGTCACACCAGTGAAAGTCACTGGTGGAAAAACAACGCAGTATGTTCCTTAGAGAGCAGCTGTCTGTGCTGGCCCCAAGTCAGAATACATGGTCAGACCAACGGCGCACGCTGAAAAACCAGCATGCTGATCTAAGTAGACCTGATGTTTAGAATTCACTCAGCAAGCACAGTGGTACTATTCAGTGGCAAAGGGCAAATGGGAAATGTTTGAAGAAATCAGTTGCTAGTCTTTCTCCAAACTGTGTATCCTTCATATACTCTGCGTCCTAAACACATGACCTTCCCACTCCAGCTTATGCTGGTCCTTCTGTGATAAATGCCCATTCCCTAGTTCTGCATCCTATCTCCCCCATCACACCCAGTCCAAACATTGCCTCCTCCACCAAGACTTTTTTGATTTCTCTGCTGAAGGATCAATCTTCCTTTAGGGTATATGTTCTCTTGGTTCACAATTACTGGTTTTGTCTCTGGGAAGGAAGCTTTTGTTTTTTGAGACAAGGTCTCTCTATGTAGCTCAGACTGGCCTTGAACTGCTATGGAGCCTATCCTGGCCTCAAACTTGCAGCAATCCTCCTGCCTCAGCCTCCTAAATGCTGGGATTACAGATATGTGTCACCATACCCAGGTATGGGAGCTTTTTGAAAATAAGATCCATGTCAATTTCATTACCAAGAAATAAGAGCCATACACAGTAGAGGGTCACTGAATGTTGCATGGATTCTTGGATGTTTAGATAGGTGAATAAACTAAAAACCTTAGTACCCAAGGGAAGTTCCAACTTTATCCAAAAAGGTGGAAATGTTTCCTTCTATCAAGCTAGAATCTATCAAATTGTAGGACTAGTCTCGAACTTTTTAAAGGAAAAAGTTGTAATCTCTGCATACCTATTGTTTGTGTGGTGGATTGGTAACTGGTGGTCAATTTAAACACCAGCTGAACTGAATCAGCATGGTACAGAGCATGAAGGGCCCACCTGAGGACTGATCTCAGCTTAAAAAGGAAACCTGGGGAGGAAGAGTAGCGTTGTGGGTTCTCTGAAGTAAGTATTGATGTTTGGAGTCTTTTGAAGCTGTTCAATCAGCAGAAGCTTGTCCAAACATTGGACAAGCTGGCTTCCTGATAAGGACTCAGCTGTTCTCATCTTCAGAGCTCGGGACCTCATTGTCACTGAGGACAGCTGTGGTACCTTTTGGGGGAGCCCTGGTCCTTATTTTGAGCATCACTTCATGGCTCCGGTGTAGAACCCTCAACCTACCAGCACAGATCCTTTACCCCACTGGCACAGACTTTCTAGCTTCTGCTGACCTTTGGGCCTTCCCAGCACAAACTGTGAAGGAGACTTGCATGAGTCATTGTCATGGGCTCTAGGCCTCCAGTTAGACTCAGGGAAGGCACTGTCATGGGCTCTACGTTTTCAGCTGGACTCATACGAACATTGCCATGAGATTCAGGCTCTCGGCTGCAATTCTTGTATTTGATTCTGGGTAACTAGCATAGAATTCTACTATAAATTACGTGTCCTATATGTAACCATTTTCCTTACAATCCCCTGACTGTAACAGTCTGAGTATTATTTTCTCCAGCAGTCTCTGCAGGGCATTTTATCAATATTGCACATGGTCACTTGTCTCCAACCTGTCTGAACACACTCCATCCTGAGACTCATCCATCCCCGCAGCTGGAAAGGCTTGATAGGTCACCTGGCCCAAACATGAAATCCCTCTGACCTGGAGAAAGGGAACCTGGCCCCAGCTTAATTCTTGGGAATGGAATGGAGGTGGCCACTGAAGTTTTGTACTGGGACAGCTGCTAAGCCAGGACAGGACTCTGGTCCTTCACATCATCCTTCCTGATTCAGGAACTGGATAGTACATGTCCACCCTGAGCTGTCCAGTCTCTTAGGTGTGGCCTGAGACTGAAATAACATGAGGAAGGTTTAAGTGACCACGGGAGAACTCCGCCAGTCACCAGAATATTTTCTGGCCCTTTTGCCAAGAAGAGAGCCAAGTCGGAAAGCTGTATACAGAGTACAAAATTACAAACAGGCGACAGTAAAAGTCAAGGTCAAAGTCAGAAGGATGGCAAGGTCTAGTGAGCCACCCTCAACCACCTCCTGACTGGCCGGAGCCCTGGTGTAGACTGGACCTGCTGAAGCCCTGGGGCTGCCCCTCCCACTGGGATTCCATGGCCACCACTCTCCCTGCTCCTCTGCACTTCTAGGAAGGTGTGTGTCCCTGTCACTGTTGTCCATGTGTCCTTGGACACAGACTCTTGATTGGAATGGGCTCAAACCAACCCTCAAGTCTACAGGGATCCCAAAGTGACAGCTGACACAGTGCCCAGTACTGAGACAACTGCAGAATACCAGAGTGTTCTGAGGCATCGGGCAGAAACCTTAGGTGTCCGGGGTAGAGGTGCTGCCTGTGTGTGTGGTGACCATACCCACCGGTACTGAAGGTCCACCAACGCCAGAGCCCGAGACCGCCCAACTGGAGCAACACACAATCCAACTAGCACACACACATGCACCACGCACATCCGCTCGCACAGACCCCTGTGCAGGACATTCCCAGCATGCGTTCTTGGACCCTCTTCTTCACTCAAATGGTCAGATGCTGAAAACCACCTGAGCTGGGGACAGCTCCGTGGCAGAATGCCTGCCCAGAATGCTCAAAGTCCTGGGTTCAATCCCCAACACCACACAAAAGAAACCACACACAGCTTGAAACTTTGTTTTTAAACTAGAATTTATTGGTATACAAAACTCCATTTCATAGATAAAGTGGCACATCTTTGCAGCTTCTATTGCACCAAGTATTGAAGATTAAAAACACAAAAAGAAACATTTGGTTTTGAAAACACTGCAAATAGCCAAGTACAGTACTTTGGTAAATAAAAAATAAAATGGTTCAGGTGAACACAATCTGTGGGGAAAACAGCCTGGGAGAAATGAACTACGGACATCAGACTGGTCCTGTTTCTCACTCCACGCTCCATAGATAAGGCAGACTTGCTAAGTCAACGGATCATGACCCCATGGAGGTCTTAATATCTCCAGACTGAAGCAAGAACAAGAATAGTGCAATTAGGAAACAGAGAAGGCCCCTTCCCCAGACACTGCTGCCCTCCTGCCCTCTTCCCCAGGGGACTGACACCAGGGAGGGAGCACAGAGGTGCTCAGGCTCACTCCTGGCTCTCTTCTCTCCTCCTCTGGGCCTGGTGCTGGTGAGGAACCGGGAGGGCAGCCGCCATGGAAACTGAACCCCAGAGGTGGGAAGATGTGAGGAGCCTCACACCAGTGTGGCTCAGGTTTCAGCTGAGGGACTTTCCAGGGGGCCAGCCCCAGGCAGAGGGCTGTGCGCGAGCTTGGGTGATTGTCTTGGACAGCTGGCAACAGAGGCCCGCTAGACGCGGACCAGCAAAGGCTAAGAGCCAGACCCCAGAGTTTCCTCCAGGGATCAGGACCCTTCACGAGGCCCGGCATGGGGCAGAAACTCCAAACAGGGGATGCCCTGCTCAAACTCACTGTGCACATAAGCACTCTGAGGCGCATTACCCTTGTGCCAAGGCAGCCTCTTCTCAAGTAACTTTGCAAGGGCACTCCACATTTTAATCACGTTACAACGCAGTCCTTATGATGATTGCTAACCAGCGAGATTAAAAAGAACTGTGTGAAGAAACCACGAAGAGCCTGAGGTTCTGAGAGGGAATTTTACCTGAAGACAAGGAGGCCAGAGCCAAGCCCGTGCCGGCCAGAGCCAAGCCCGTGCCGGCCAGAGCCGCAGGAGCCACACACTGACTCATGCTTGCCTCGGAAACTCGGGCTTCTCTCCGTCACCAGAAACGCTAGATCTCCCCCTTACTAACAGGTAATGTGAAAGCTGTTCAAACTTAAATACGCATTTAGATCTTCAATTCAAGGATGACAGCAGAAAAGCACAGCCTGCTTTAGTCAGAGAAACACCTCATAAAAAGTGCCATTATTAGGTGAGCTTAGAGGAACCTGGGAAGGCGCAGAGCCCGGGCAACCCGTGGCCCGAGTGAAGATGCGGAAAACCTGGGCTAACGAGAAGGACGAACTGAGACACCGCATCGGACCCTGAGGCTGCGGGGGATGCAGAGTGCTGAGGTACGAGGCGCAGAGCCAGGTGTCCACCCCTGTGGGAGTCGGAGGGCCACGGAGCACACGCGGACGAGAGGCCCCACTCCCTTCCTGCCCAGAAACCGGGGTCAGGGTGAGAATCCGTCACTCCTGCCTAGGGTTTCAAGTGTCCTCTGACTTGTCAACTGAGACATTTAAGCTTAAACATTTCACAGAGGTAAACAGGACATTTTATGTCGACCCAGTAAAACCCAGGCAGAGAGTTTCCCAGAGTAAGAGAAAAACTGCATATTGAACCCAGGGACTCACTGCAGTGTGCTCCACTGCCCAAGTCCATCTCACGTGAGCACTCGATGTGTGAGCAACTCTCTCCTCGCCTGCACAAGAACACCCCCCCATTCTATACCACAGGAACCCCCTGGGGAGAGGGCGGGCGAGGTCCAGCAGCCCACAAGGGAGCGCCCACTCTCCAGCCCTCCCCAGCAGACCCAGCTCAGAAGTGTTTCCAGAGCTCAGAAAAGAAACTACCAACAATTTCATCTGACATAGACAATTCCTCGAGCAGATTTTCTTCCTGAAAGTGTATGTTTATCACTGAAAACTTAAGTATATGTATACATTTTATCTTTCTAGTGTGTGGCAACTCTAAGTTGTGGTTCTACACTGTTTTACTATACCTACGTCTATTTTAAAGCCAGTGCCACTAGTATTTTAACATTTTTTCCTCTTATTTTGACCTTAAAAAAAAACTTCCTTTGAACCCATACAACCTTTGCATGTGGCTGGTAAGGCCAGTGCTGACTCCAGTCCATGGCCGTATGCTCCTCCTCCTCCTCCTCCTCCTCCTCCTCCCCCTCCCAGCCAGCCGCACTGCAACCCCACACAGAACGAACCCTTCCTAGCCATTATGACCCTGGTAGCTACTGGAGTCACTTCCCGTAGAGATCCACATGAGTAACTGCACCGGGGTAACAGCTACTGACGGGCGTCACCCCAAGACCAAGCACACTGGGCTCTACCATGGCTGCCAGAAGTCATCACCAAGGCCTGCTATGACTCCAGTGAGACTGTGGCAGTGAAGCCAAATTCAGGCCCTGGTGAGAAGGTACTGTGGAAGCTGGGTGCTCGCACCCCACTTCTAGTAATTAACACACTAAACATAACCAACTGCAACTGGAAAGCTGTGAAATGGTAATAGAAGAAAATTACAAGTCACTAGATTTAAAACGAGTTACTTTACCCTAGAAATGCTGAAACCTATTATCAGAATTAGGTAATTTATAAATAAATGTTCCCAATACTCTTTAGTAACTTTAGCAGCTTCAAAAGCTTCTAAAACCCAGTAGAGCCCAAGGCCACTTCCTTAACCAAGTTAATAAACCAATTCTACAACTGTTGACACTGCATCTCCTGTATACTATTTCTAATTCTAAGTCTCTGATACACAATTTCCATCTTTCTAAAGGATCTGGTCTTCCGCAGTTCAGCAAAACAGGTAAGAAAGCTGCTCCCCAGAAAAGTTCAGGAAGCCAGCCAGGAAGCTGCCCAGAAGTGAAAGGGAGAAGACTGGATCCTACGCACCTGACTCCACATCCTTAGAGGAAGGCAGCACAGCGCCTTCCCTTGTTCAGACCGAGTCCTACAGTCTCCAAGTTAGGACTCAGAGGTGCAGAGAAAAAAACGCCGTGCAGTTTTCAAACCTCTGAAATACTGCATGTGCACCAGCCCGCCAGGAAGAAGCCCACATCACAACCTCCCTCCCAGGGGCAGTTCTTAGAGACTTCTACACTCCTACCACAAAGAGTCTCGCAGTAAAACAAAAATTTAAAAGGCATCATTAAAACCAAAGAAAGCTAAGAGTCTACAGATAGTAATACGGTCTGGAGCCTGCCCAGGCAGGATCCACACATCAGAACTTCTCAGTTTCCTCTGCACCTCCAGTCTTACAATTCTGAAATCCAGGGATAAAGGAGACAACAGATAATTTACCTTTGGAGTCAGGATGTCATTTGCCCAAATACTAGGTTCCCAGAAGGCAAAGACCTGTGTCTAAGACTGGCTACCTCATATGTGACAAATTTAAAGTTCACATCCACCCAGCTCAGTTTTGGGAACGTGATCTGTCCACTGCTTCGATCTGTTTCAGAATCGTGGAGTCGATCATAGGCCTTAGCCAAAGGAAGCACCCTTCCCTGGCGGGATAACCTAAGCTGCTGCCCACCTCTGGCAAAGCTGGAGTTTTCTGACATCAAAACCCCCAACAGAGCTTAAATAAAAATAAATAAATGCCACCTGTTAGGGGATTTCACTTCTACAACACTAAGAAAATGTCGTGACCTAAAAGGTCAAGTTACCTTTGTACTTCTCTGAAAGCCTTTTTCTAAGTCTAGAATAGTTGGAAAGAATATAATTACTTAGAGGGACACAGTTGTTTAATTTCTACCCAGACAGGGGACACAGCTCAGTGGCACAGCACCTGCCCAGCAAGTCCTGAGTTCAGTTTCTAGTACCAAAAAACAAATGAAAGAGACTGTGGTTACTTAAATTGTGAACACAAAAAATAACCTTAGCTATCCTTCCAGACTTCCCCTCCTGGGACAGCAAGTAACTGTTAGGCTCTTCCTCGGCAGAAACCCGGGAGCCCTGACTTCCTCCCTCCACAGACCGCGCCACAGATAGTCAGAATCCCAGCATGCCTCACAGACAGTTCCAACCATCTTCCTACACCGACAGCACTCCACACCATGCCACTGTCAGCTTCCTAGCAGAGTCCAGGCCTCCCGGGCAGTCAGGCACGCATGTCTTATGGCTTGAGTTCGAGTGAAACCATCTGAAGCAGCCTTAGTCAGTAAGAAGAGGGACATGGTTGTTTAATTCCTACCCAGACAGCTGCAGGCCACCCCTCGTATCGCATTACTTCGGGAAAACACTATCTGAATTAATCTGTGAGTAACCCGAATAAGAATGAAATTACGCCTAAATATTTTCCTGAGATGAAAATCATTTATAAGCCATCTTATATGTTGATGTCTTTTGAAAACAAAAGAGAAACTAAGAAAATTTATCATTCTGAGTTTCTAATTACTCTAAACTACTTCATGAACAGTTACAGCAAAACCCACCCCATGTGTTAAGGGCAGATTCCAGGGTCACTGAACTCCGATTTTTAGGGCAAACAAAGCCACACGTGGAAGGTTTTTCCTGATCCTTAAAACTCAGTATTTTAAGTTGGTATTACAGAATATGAATAGCTTCACTGTACTTTCATGAAACAAAACACAGCACTGACAAAACTCAACAGAAAAGAGGCAGCTTGAAGGACAGTAACTCGCTGGGAACCTGGTGTGGTGGGGTTGGTTCCGCCTCACTGTGGACGGGACGGCTGGCTGGAAGGCCTGGCGCGCCCGCGCCGTCTTCCCGGTCTCCCCTCTGCTTCCCGCAGCTCCCCGGAGGCCGCGGTCAGATGTTCAGAGCAGCGAAGGTCTTCACCAGGGTGACCTGCGTGTTGGCATCTGCCTCACTTCTGTTTTTGTCCCTGTGGCTGCTCCGGCCCTCCAGGGCTTTGAGACGATGCCTCTCCTCTTGTCGTTTCTTCTTCTCCAGCCGCTGCTGCTCCCTCCTGTGCTTGTTTGTGACCTGAAAGAGGAGACCACTGCGGAAGTCAGCAGCATGGCTGACAGGGCTGCTGCCTGCTGTAAAGAGACACGGCTGACAGATACGCAGGGCTGGACCGCTTCTCAGGAGGAACTGAGGACCGGCCTACGAGACTATGGATGATTGATTTTTCCATTTACTGCTCAAATTTACATCAAAATGCACATCCCCTTGCTGAACTAGCAAACAAAATCAACTCCTCATAACTAATTCAAAATGACCTAAAGGGACATTACCCCTAATCAAGCAAGGGACAACACTCAAAGGGGCCAGGGGACAGGACCTTTGTGTATTTTAGAAGCCCAGGTAACTGTAACAAAATGCTCAAAGCTTACAACAACTTTGCCTCTGCCTGGGGCTTCTCACTGTGGCATTTTAAATTCACAACTTCTAGATAAAAGTCTTTTAAATGAACTCCAAATTCAGTACGATGACGTGCTATCTACTTGTGGGAGTGGGAAGCATGGAGGGAGATGCACAACCTTCTTGGGAAGCATTTGAAGATTTACCAAAAGCCTTAAAAAGATTCTGCTACCCACATCCTTTAACCTGTTGACTATGCTTCAGGGATTCTATGCAAGAAACTAATTCAAAATACAAAGATGTATACACAGAGGCAGACACATTCATGAAAAGCGTACACTAACTAGGAAGAAGAACCACATGCAACATTAGGCGGCAGAAGGAACCGTGCTTGTACACAGAGGACAGTCTCACCCAGAATTCCTTCTGGTTGTCACTATATACACCAAGCAATCTTCATTCTGCTTCTTCATAAACCTTTATGCATCCCCTAGATTTTCCACAATAACTACTCTTAGAACTCAAAAGGAAAACACGAACTAAAATGAAATTCAAGTTTCCGCCACTACCACAGAATTTCAGCAGCCCACCACTGCCCGTCCAAGCCCCTCTTTGTACCTTTGGGAGATGGTTATGTGCTTTGTTTTCTTCACCAGGGCTGGCCCGTGCCTTAATGTTTTCGGTCCTGCCTTCCTTTAAGCCCTGATTTCCAAAGATTCTGGTGCCAGTGCCGCCCTCCTGCCATAAGGGGTCACTCTGCTTCAGCACTTGGCCAGTGGGCTCAGGATCCTCCTCTGCATCTTCCAAAAAAAGGTGTTTAATTAAAATTGAGAACCTAACAGACTTCACCTGGGTCCCCAAATAACTGTAATTTAGGAAGAAACGATCTTGTCTTAAGCAATTCCTTACGATAAAAAATTCTAATATAAGTCAGTACAGTGGGAAACAAAGAGGACAAAATGACTGGTAAAACATAGGTAAATTTTTAAATAACCTTAGACAAAATTTTTAAATAAATTGGATAAATTTTTAAATAATGATTAGAGAAATTATTAAGAGGCTACTACACTTTGAATTATGATTAAGTAAGACTTCAAATGCCGCTTGCAGTGTCACTCTTACCTGTCAAGGATACACCGTACTAAACAAGTGTCAAACAATGCTAATCTACGTCAGAGACTCAGCTACTCACAGCTTGTGAAGGCATGGCAATTACACAAAGCAGATACAAAATATTCATCATTTGGAAGACTATTATGTCAGGAATAGTAAGCAAATAGCATACAATATCTGGCAATAAGGGTTTTTTGGTACCAGAAATTGAACTCAGGACCTTGCACTTGCCAGGCAGGTGCTATGTTGCTGAGCTACATCCCCCACCGAGAAATTAAGATGCTACATCTTTCCTCCACTGTCTAAGTCACAAAATTAAATTCAGTTCAAGCAACAAAAAAATCGGAATTATCATTAGTTGATAAGACTAAACATTTCTGTCACAAAAATAAGGCATTTCTCTCTTAGTTATCACTTGAACATTGTAAGATCTTATTTCTATAAAGACAACCTTCCCAGGGATTCCCCAGCCCTCCAGGAGTGGGGTAGGCATCCTTACCTACTGTCCTAGACAGTGCTCCCCAGCCCATGAGATACTATTACATTACATAGGCTTGGGCTGGGGATTTAGCTCAGCGGCATAAGTGCCTGCCTTGCAAGCAGGCAGTCATGGGTTCAATCCCCAGTACCGATAAAAAAAAAAGGAAAAAGACAAAAAAAAAAAAAAATGGATAACATTACGTAGGCTTCCCATCTGTCTCACACCCCCTTCCCACCCCCAATTCTTAATACAGGACCAAGATGTAGTAAAAACTGCTATTGTATAGGAAGTGCTCAATAAGCAACTGCTGAGTGAACGGATAAATAACAGTGCAACTACTACCTGTGAGTTGATCAAAAATATACATTTGGAGGCTGCTCAAAAATACACATTTAAAAATATGACTACCCAGGACTACTGAACAACTTAGCAAAACCCTGCCTCAAAAGACTGAAAAAGGGTGGGGGTTGTAGCTCAATGTAGTTTCGGAGTTCAGGCTCTAATATTGCAGAAAAATAAACAACAAAACTAAAATAAAGTAAATATAAATATTTGTAAAATCACCAATACAATCATTTTAAAGACTTACGAGGGACAGTTGTGGACTTACTCTTTTTTTTCCCTTGGTTCATCTGAAGCATTGCAATTATTGCAGATTCGATATTATAATTTTCAGCTTCCAGGTTCTGGACTATTAAATTAAAATCCTATCCAAGAAACAAAGAAACATTTCAGATTTCTGGATATATTTTTCCACCTAGTTCTACTCTATGACTTTGATAACCACAAACATATAACCATGATCCCTAGCACAAGGTTTCAAGACCCTCTCCATTTAAAAAATGTCAGTTTCAAATAAGGTTGGTTATTTTTAAAAACCACTTAAAGTAATTTGCAAAGGAATTTTCTTTATAAAGCTGTACTTTAATATTGTGAACATCAGAAAAAATTAAAACCATTCCTTAGAATTCTGGGTAATATTGAGTAAAGTCCAGTAAACAAGAGGGAAATGAATAAAAAGCTCTCATTAAATCATATCCTAAACCACGAATCTCCGCCACCTGTTTGACCCGTCACAGGCTGGCATGCTATAGAGAGGCTACCAAACTAGCAGGTAAACCAGAAGCCGTTAGGATACTAACTGAACATCCAGTTGCGTTACAAACTTTCTGGACAGCATCTTCTACTTCGTCTCTCAGGTCATCTTCCAAGTCAATTCCCTTTGTCTTGATTTTTTCTCTTTTACTTGATTCATCTTGATGAAGTATCTGAAACTAAATGAAACAAAAAACATAACTAGGAAACTTCAACACAGAAAGACACTACAATCTCAAAACATCTGCACATGGTGGGGAAGACTCTAGAGACAATCTGAAGAAAACAGTAGTGAGCGGGTTAAACGTCATTCACACACGAGGGCACCAGGGCATCACAGAAGATTAAAAAGAAAGCCCTAAGAGATGAGTTAAGTCACTCGGCAACAACAGCACCAGAGCTTCTGAGGTTTCTAGATACCAACATTTTGGCAGTGACTGCTGACTCCAACAGCAAAACAGGGCTCTCATTTGATGAGAGAATGAGACATTTGATGAGCTATTTCAGAGAAACAGTGCTGGTCTAGAAACAGATGCATGTCCAAGTCTCGTCTGGTTCACAGGCCCTACCTGATCATCTGCGGACTCTGGAATACAAAGCATGGCATGCCTCATCTCACCTCAGGTCCACACCACCACACTCACAGGAATGTGCCAGTCTGAACACTAAAATACAGCTTGTAACAAAGAACAGTTTGCCTGGAGAACAAGAGGTCTCCACAACTGGAGCCTAAATCAGAAAAGCTAAAGTCATCTCCCAGTGACCATTCAATCACTTTTTCCTCTCTTTTCACAGAGGATGGGTAAAGAGGCAAAGATGTTTCAATTTTTCGCATGTCCAAGTAAGTGGAGTCCAGCACTTACCTGGGTATACGCCTTAGAATGCTAATGCAAAACAATTTCTTAAATTTTACTTTAACGATTTGGTATCAAGAGGCTTAGATGAAGCAGTTTCACTTGGAAGTTAGCCAAGGAAATAATGTGAAATATAGAAAGGTCTTATGAAAAAGTGTTCATAAGCATGTTATTTACACTGGTGAACAACAAGAAATAAGCTGAAGTATGGGCTTAGCTAAATAATCACAGAATGATGTCTTCATTTCCATTTCAGCAAGGAATACAGTAAGGACTTTCACTACCATTGTGGTTATTTAAAAACATTTTAGAGGGAACAGCCAATGCAATTAACCAAGAAGAAATGAGAAGTAAAAACAAATTAAGGAAAAAGAAATCATTTCTTGCAGATGAGATAATTCTGTACCTGGAAAAAAAATTCAAGAGACTCAACAAAAACAAAACTACTACAAGTAAAAATAAATCTGGCAAATCATCCACACAATAAAAGACTTTAGTATCCAAAATATGGTAAGAACTCTTATAACTCAGGGGGCCAGGATATAGCTTAGTGGCACAGTGCCTGCCTAGCAAGCACAAGATCCTGAGTTTCATTCCCAGGACCAAAACAACAAACTCCTACAACTTGAAAATGGACAACCCAATTATAAAAAATAGGCAAAGAACTTGAATAGTTATTTCTCCAAAGATATACAAATGGCAAAAAGCATGAAAAAAATATTCAACATCATTAGTCATTAAGAAAATTCAAATTAAAACCACCAGACATTAGGATAGCCATTTTAAAAAAAGTGTTGCAGAGAATGTCAAGAAAGCACAACTCTTATATATTGCTGATAGTCATGTAAAATGGTGTATGGTATATTGCTGGCAATGATGTAAAACTCTGCAAAAGAGGTTAGCAATTCCCCAAAAAGTTTAATTTAGAATTTACCATATAACCCAGCATTCAAGTAGCAAGTATATTTCCCAAGATTTAAAACAAGTTCTGAACTAATATATATACAAACACTCACAGCAATACTATCCTCACAGTAGTAGTATTCTTTTTCCTTTTTATCGGTACTGGGGATCGAACTCACGACTGCCTGCTTGCAAGGCAGGCGCTTATGCCGCTGAGCTAAATCTCCAGCCCCACAGCAGTACTATTCTCAGGAGCCAAAAGTTGGGAGCAACCCAAATGTCCAAAGCACAGTTAGATAAAATAAGGGAGACCCAGGTATACAATGGAGTATTATTCAGCCATTTTTTTAAAAAAAAGCAGTGATACATGCTACAACACGGATAAATTTCAAAAATATTCTGCTCACTGAAGAAAGCAGTCAGGAAAGGCTACCTACTGTAGACTCCACCCATATGAAATATCCAAACTACGTAAATGATGGAGACAAGGAGGCGGGTGAGTGGGTGCTGGGCTGGGAGGAACAGACAGACAGAGTGGCTACTTCATGGGCGCTGGGTTTTCTTTTGCAGTGACAAAAACGTTCTGGAACCAGACAGAGGAACCAGCAGTGCAACACAGAGAGTACCAGGAGCCAATGAATTCTAAGTTTTTAAAACTGGACCATTTTATGTGATGTGGCTTTTTTTTTTTTTCCATTTTTTTAAAAAGAGAATTCTGCAGAATATCTGGCATTTTATTGCATAGTAAAATCCTAATGAATACTAAACATTACATAATTGGCATTTTGTTATTAGCTCTCATGTACAAATGACAGACAACCATCCAGGAACTATGAAGAGGGAAAAGAATCTTTTCCATACCTTAGGAACAAAAAACACAAAATACGCAAGAATAGAATCAACAAAAGGTAGGCAAAACCTGCTCCTATAAATTATACCCACACAAAAAAATCAAACAAATTTTAAAGTGTACCTGATCTTTGGCTAGGAAGACTCAGTATCATAAAGATGAAAATGTTTCCCTTATTTACTAACTTAATGAGATTCTAGTTGAAAAAACTCAATAGAACTTTTTAACTTGACATACTAATTCTAGTATTTTTTATTTTGTAAGGAAGAACAGGTAAGAAATTATAAAAAAGAAAAGTAATTATGAGCAAAAATTTCTATCAGACTTTAAAACTAATTAAAGTAATGGAGCATCAACACAAACAAATCAGTGGAACAGAATGAAATGTCTAAAAACATACCCAAATACACACAGGAATTTAGTATGGGTTGGAGGGGGTGGCATATTAGATAAGCAGAGAAAATGGAAATGAATAAACAGTTTGTGCACAATTATGCAATCCCAAAGGAAACAAAAAGTTGAATTCATAGTCTCATACTCTTGGAGAATATAAATTCCAAACAAAGCCACACCAGACAGAGTGGCTGGCACGTATCTGCCAGGTTAGCACTTCGGGAAGCTGAGATAGAAAATCACAAGTTCTAGCCCCGTTTGGCCAACTTAGCAAGACACTGACTCAAAGTAAAAAAGGGATGGAATATAGCTCAGTGTAAAGGCCTTGGGTTCAATCCCCAGTATCAAGGGAAGAAACTTTTTTTTTTTTTGTCTTTTTCGTTTTTTATCGGTACCAGGGATAGAACTCACGACCGCCTGCTTACAAGGCAGATGCTTATGCCGCTGAGCTAAAAAGGGAAGAAACTTTTAATGAAACTACAAAAGTACTATAATGAACTATCAGAGAATTCTTTTTAACCTCAAAGTATATAAAGCCTTCCTAATTATAACCTCAAAACTCAAAGACACATAAGGTACTACTGAGTGACAGGGCCGGGGATGTAGCTCAGAGCAGAGCACTTGCCTAGCAAGCACAACAAGGCCCTAGGTTTAATCCACAGCACCACATGAAGGGGAAGAAAGGGGGAGGAGAAGGAGGAGGAAAACAGTGATAAATTTAACCAAAAGAAAGAAGAGAGGAAGGGAGGGGAGAAGAGAAGAGGAGAGGGAGTAATAATAAAGGGGAAGAAAACATTACTAAATTTAACAAAAATATCTGAAAATATCACAACAAATACCACAGAAGACAGAAGAAAAACACAAGTGACAAACTGAAAAAAATATCTGCAATTTGTATCACACAAAGACTAATTCCCCTAATGCACAGAAAGCTTCCCAAAATCACTAAGACAATTTTAAAAGGAAAACAAAGGCAAAGAAAATAAATAGAGTCCATAAAAAAGGAAAAACAATGTCTAAAAACACAAAAAAATGCATAAATTGACTAATAAAAATAAATGCAAATTAAAACTATCTTAAGAAAACAGATTTAAAAACTTGATAACCACCACGCTGGCAAGAACATAAGAATAAAGGCATATACTACAAGTGGGACTACAAATTAGTAACACATCAATAAAGAGAAATTTGGCAGTATTTATCAAAACCCTTTGATGCAGTACCTTCTATGGATTTAGCCAGAAAATATACTCACATGAATGAAATGAGGTACATAAAAGGAACTGCATGCCAGTTTCAATGGCAAAAGTTCAAAAAGTCCATCAGTAAGGGCTGGTCAACAAGTCATAATGCATCTGTTCAACACGGTAATAACAATGGTAATGCAGCTTTAAAAAAGACAGAGAGCTTCTTGTGCACTATCACGAATTAAACCCTTCATTAAAAACGAGGCAGAGTGGCTGGCTGTGTGAGGGTGTGCAGTAGGTACAGGACGCTACAGCTGAGGAGGCAGGAGTGTAAAAAGCAGCAGAAGTGGAACCGTGCACATACATGAATCTGTCTATGGTATACTGATACCACTGGCTGGGCCCAAGGAGGGGAACAGCACAGCCAAAGCACAAGGGTGAGAAGGTGTTATGGATTAGAAACTGGTGGTCAACGTTACACCAGCTGGATTACATCAGCATGGCACTGAGCATAGATGTTCCACCTGAGGAAAGTTGCCAGCATAGATAGAGATGTGGAGAAGGAGAAGCTATTGTGTTGAGGCATTGAGGGTTCTCCTACGAGTTGCTGTTTGAGCTGTTGATTCTCCTGGAGGAGCTCTGTTCCTCACATCGAACATTGCTTCCTGGCTCCAGAGGGGAAGACATGTGCCACTTGGTTTGCAGGATGAACTCGTCATGCTGGCTTCCTGGCATGTACTCAACTGTGCTTATCATTGGAGGAGCTTGGGCCTCTGTGTCGCTGAGGATGGCTGTGGTGCTTTACAGGACAGGTCTTTGTTATGAGTGTGGCTTTTTGGCTCCAGCATAGAACTCTCATCCCACCAGCACAGCTCCTTCACCCCGTTGGCATGGCCTTTCTGGCTTCCACCGCTGACCTTTGGGCCTTCCTGGCAAGGATCCCTAATAGAGACTGGTGTGAGTCCTTCTTGTGGGCTCTGGACCTCCAGTTGGACTAGAGGAAGGCATTTTCATGAGCTCTGGGTTTTCATCTGGACTCATGTGAGACATTGCTATGGGATTGAGGCCTTTGGCTAAATATTCTGTCTCTGATGTTGTGGATAGATTTCCTGCAGTTTTTTGTGTTAAATCTGGGTGACCATCATAAATGTATTATAAATTCCATGTCCTGATTCTAATTGTTCTCCTCACAACCCCTGACTACAACAGAAGGTAGCACTATCTCCTGCTACACACTTTTAATTCTGACCCATGCTGACATACACCATTATGACCTAACTCAAGAAATAAAACTGTTTTAAAAAGTAGGCATCGCCGGGGATTTAGCTGAGCAGCATAAGCACCTGCCTGGCAAGTTCGAGGTAGTGAGTTCAAGCCCCCGTACCACAAAAAAAAAAAAGTAGGCATCAACATGAGCAAGGACTCAGCAATAAGGTGGGTTAACTGGGGGGAAAAAAGCAGCCAACAAAGCTGTAGAATAATGTAACCTTAATCCTCTATAATGCATTAAGTGACTGAACAAAAATCTACTGACACCTTAAAGGTTTGCATTTTATGTGTTTTTGTAGTTTATCTTTTCCACAATTTCCAAATTTCATGTCTAATAGGCATTAATCAATTTCAACATATAAAGGTAACTTTAAAATTTGATGGATTTCATATGCAAAAAAAGCATAGGTATCAGTTGATAGAGAAAACAAAAGGATAGCAAGCAATTTTATCTGTGTCCCTCATAAGAGATAAAGAGAAATACTTGTTAAAAACTCAAAATTCTTAAAGCCGATTCTCCATTAAAAAAAGAAAAAAAACATGAGTTTTTAGGTCAGGGCACACAGCTCTGGACCTGCTCCCCTAGGATGTGAGCACAGAGGAAGGAAGGGCGGGCGCTCACGCACGTCAGTCTGGAGATGCGCAGGTGCCTCCGAGTTGTCGTTGATCCTCCGCACACTGTCGTAGTGCTCTCCGTACCGATAGGCGATGTGCAGCTCCCTCACGCTACTTTTGTCAGTCCCTCGAATCTGCAAACACAAGAGGGGAGACACTGCAGACGACCTCTGGGTAGAAATGCCTTGCCAGGAACCTCAGTCATCAGACTCTATACAGATACGTCATTACCAACTTCAGAATTATCCTCCTCCTCCCTTGCATGCTTCAGTCCGCTTTACCTGGTATCTAACAACACAGAAATAAGCCCATATGAAAACATTCAAGACCAGGGGCAGGTTTACAGTGAACTTAAGTAAGCTTAAGTTTCAGCTTAAGTTTCTACCCTGTCCTTAACAATAACACTTTCCACCAACTATATAGTGAGACATATTATCAGCAACAAAATCACATAATTTTACAACAAAATCATATACAGTAAAACAGTACTACCGCACTGGACAACCCTAGAAGTACCGCTCACTCCACGTGAACAGCACGCAAGAACTTGGGCCATACAATACGGAAGCTCTAAGGTCCAGCCTGCAAAGATCGCCAAAAATTTCCACTTCCACAAAAATCTAAAGTAACTCTCTGACCCAGTAACTGTCTCTTTTTAAGACACTAAAACTCTAACACCTCCTTCCTGTGTTTACTGAAAGTCACAAGAAGTAAGATATTACCATTAATTTAAACATGTATGTTAGAAAAGTACAGTAGGCCAGGGATTTAGCTCAATCACACAAGCACATGCCTGCCTGGCAAGTGCAAGGTCGTGAGTTTGACCCCCTAGTACCTCCCCCCCAAAAAATTATTAAAATGAAAAGAAAAGAAAAGCACAGAAAAAACCGTGGGACAAAGAGAAACCCACAGTCTAGACATCAAGACTGTGGAAGTCATTGCCAGTAGAATGCCCAAATGTCCGAGTGCAGAGCCTAGTTTGGACACAAATAACATAGTGACAGCACCATTTGTCTCCCAGCAAGAATACTAAGAAAAGAAACAATTTACTGGAAACTGAATGACAAACTCTGAAGTGCTAATATATACATATTTTGATTAGAAAAAATAACAACAAACTGCCAACTGTGTTTTTCATGGGCAGGTTACAGAGGACTCTACCTTTGTGTGTCACACACACCTAGGCTATTCATATATTCTATTTCCAACCAGGAAAAACCCAAGTTTCAGTATCCCCACGCTGTGAGTTTAAGACTACCCATCAATAATTCAAGAGCTCTTACCCATGACAACAGCCATAGTTTCAATTCTTAAAAATTTTACGTTTCACTGAAGAGGGGAGACGTGGGACAGTCAACAGAAATAAAACAAATTTATTTTAAAAAGATACACTCTCCTGTTCAGTAATTCATGAACAAGAACACTATGGAAACAAATCTGACAAAGTTCTAACTAACAAACTTTAAAAAGTATCAATGCAAGAAAAAGCAGGCTATGGTTACTGAATTACCCTGAGAATTTTCCTTCAAGATTAAGTTCACCATGCTACACATTCATATGATTTTCACCTCTGCTAAGCAATGCTTCAGCAACAAAAAACTGGATCAAGTGGTAACTCATATTGTGGGCTCACAGATCATCCTTAAAGAACACCGCACTGCAAACCCGATAGCTATGCCTTATGTCAAGATATCAGCAACACGGCCCCAAAGAACACACAGATACTGTTTCTCTCCTACTCATTTTATCCCTGTAAGGTGAAATTCCTCACCAACCCAGGGAGTAGCTAATTTATTCTGTTTTAGGCGAATCTTGCTAAAAGGAGGTTTTGCCAAACATAAAAGGCTAAACACCGCCACTGATCTAACAGTCAGGAAAGCCAAACCATACAAAAGACAAATCAGACAGTGGCTACAAGAGGGCTGGGTGGGAGGGGGCATTAGTGACTGCCAGGGTCACATGGTAACTCTGTCACAGGAGCATTACTCCTGAGTTGGTGGTAGTTAAACGTGACTGTTTTTCAAAACATACAACCATATATCTGAAAGGTGAATTTTCTATATGTCAATTATCTCTTTATATACCTAACCTTTGTTTTTTTTCCATAGGCACAAGCTATGAGTGAGGAATTTACAAAGAGTACATGAAGGTAGCATATGAAAAAAAGCACTATTATCCTTATAATAACAATATGTAGGTACACAGTAACCCATATATATATGTACAAATATATATAATCATTAAATGTTAACACTGATCACAGGGCAGTAACGTAGGGGTGGGCAATAGAAGTTGCATGCTGAGTCCTCGGGAGCTGAGCTACAAAGTGAAAAGAAACCCTGGATTTCAAGAGGAAGAGAGTAAGGAGGTAGGAGCCTCTACACACTTTCAAACCAACCTGTGATCTAAACTCCTGAATGTGTGGTTGGAGGAACCGTTTGTGGTATGAGGTTAATTTAGGATTTTAGGCTGGAAAGGTAAAGAAAAAGTCAAAGAGCTGAGTGAACAGCTACCTCACAGGGGACAGCGTGGGGTGCTATGAGGCTGCCGCTCTGCAGCACAAATGTTACTTGCAATTTTTTTTCTGTAGAAGAACCAAAGAAACCATGAGCAGAGCACGATACCTTAGACCATAAACTACATTTGGTGGTTGTTGAGAACGTACTTTTTACCAACAATTATTATAATAAATCTGGTCTTTGTTTGCCTCCACCCAAAAATCACAGAAATATACATGAGAATGAGCAGCCTGCAAAACTAGAATTCATGGCTGGTCCGATGGCAGTGGGTTATCAGAACTTATTAACATTAGTGTCACTCAAGTTGGTACACCACCCCCCCACTGCTAAATTTGACTGGCTTTAAAAAAAAAAAAAAAAAAAAAACTAGAATTCATATGCACTGCTTTAAATTCCCATTTTTATGGAACTATCTAAAATATTTCCACATTAGGCTTTGTGACTCCAAATTGCCCAATGAATCAATAACACATATAGCATTTGAAAGATTTCTAAGTTATACTCTACATTCCATTTGTACACAGCACAAAGATTAATTCCAAGCCACCACAAGATCCCTGTCATTGGTTAGACTGATGACCCAAATTATTCTGCACAGTTCAGTGTCACAGGTCAAGCTCCATCATCTTAGGAGATTCCAAAAGCTGTTTTATAGATAAATTCTCTAATAGGTGACCTACCTGCCACAAAGGGGCATTAAGCTGATGAATCACCACATTCAACTGATGATTTCTTGCAAATGCTACAATTGCATCATTGCCAGCAAAAGTACCAGGCTTTGCCAAACTGGCCACTGCATAAAAACAAGAGAGAAAAATAATGTATTTATAATAAAAAAAAACCTAAATGCAAGCATGCTTTAGTATTTACTGAGTTCCAAACAAAGAGAAACAAGACTATCTATCTGTAAAGCCCATAAATCATTTAGGAATTTAGCTGGTTCAACAATATGCAGATTGCTACTCAGAAGACCACTAAATATTGAAGGATCCACTTATTCTTTCAATAAAATGTACTGAACACTTTCAATCTGTCTAACTGGATAAAAGTGACTGAACATACACCAATAAACACAGTAATCACAATAGTTCACACTTACAAAAGCTTATTATGCATGTGTTAAGCACTGCTCTAATAATTTCTGATAATCACTTCTAGTCCTCAAAATAACCTAGAGGCACTATTATGCCTGCCACTTGACAGATGAGGAAACAGAGTCACAGGATAGTTCGTAACTGTCCAAGGTCACAGATGCTATACAGGGCAAGCTGAGATTTCACCCAGGCAGCCTGACTCCAAAGCCCTCGCTCTTGGCCACTCCATCAATTTTTCCTCAACTAGTTCACAACCAGCAAGAGCAAACAACCAGAAGATGGGCACTAAGGAATGCGGCCTTGTCCAAAGAAAGGTCTGGCCTTTGTCCCAGGCTCCTTCAAGGTAACCTCTAAACCTCTGGAATCTCCAAAGGAGAGAAGAATATCTGTTATTCATGATGGGCCAGGCCCTCTAGCAAGCCTCTAACAACTATCTACCACTTAGACAAAAAACCCAACCAATCAATAAGGAAAAAATAATGAACCAAAATGCTGAAGTTGAACTCTGACACTGAAGTTAGGGTGAGCTTTCCTGGCCAACAATACTGAGTATACTGCACACAGACATGCCAGAAAAAAACACTTTCCAAATACAATGGACGCTTTGTACTTGGAAAATTCCCAATCCACCCTCTGCATCAAGAGGCAAAGAGGCCAATCCACAGAACACTGAGGATATCGAGGAAAACAGAAAATGAAGCCTAATTTTATGAGGTGGGAGCAGTGAAAGGAAAATAGACTGTGTCAGGAGCTTTCTTGGTGGACACTCTCCTATTTTCTCAACTGGCGGAAGTGAAGACCATCTAACTACCTTCCCCTTCTGATGTCTCCCCCAATGCATTCTTGACATGGCCTCCAGAGACAGGTATTAAACCACAGAAACAAATCTGTCACTTTCCAGATAAGGACAGATCCAAGAAAACTAAGTACATCAGCACCTAGCATGGGAGGGCCTAGGTAAGAATATGAAAGTTTAAAATCTCATACATAATTTTTTAACAGATTTGTGCCCCCAAGTAGAAACTAAAATCATTCACTGATTTGCCTCAAACTAAACTGGTGGCAATTGGGTTTGAGGTGACTTTATTAGTTTCTCTGACTATAAAAGTAATACATCATCATTCTTAAAATACAAAAAGATCTACAGACGATAATTTAAAATACTCATAGGCCCTTTATCCTTAACTTATTAAAAGCTTATTTTAATTTTGTCATCTATTTGTCACCAAAAAAAATCTCTGTGAGAGTGCTTTAATGTCTCCTTACCACCCTTAAAGAGAGTTAAGTTCTGAAAAGTAAGAGTAGCTGAGCAATAACTATAAATGCCGGGGTAGGCACCATTTTACAGTGCGTTTTTCTCATTCCACTGATAATAACAGTAATAAACAGCTTTTCAGGTCAATTAATGCCCTTTTTTGGTGCTAAGAATCAAACCCAGAACTTCATGTGTGCTAGCACAAAAACCGAGCTATACCCTCAGGCCTCAAAACCATTAATTTTATTAAGAGTATGTACATCGGGGCTGGGGGTTTAGCTCAGTGGCATAAGCGCCTGCCTTGCAAGCAGGCAGTTGCGAGTTCGATCCCCAGTACCGATAAAAAGGAAAAAGACAAAAAAAAAAAAAAAAGAGTATGTACATCTAAATCTACTGCTTTCCAAGTACCTAGCATGTTACCCATGACAGAGTAGACAAATAAGGTATCTGCTGAATGAATGAACGAACGCCACAATTTATATCATCAAACCCCTGGCAGGGAGGATGAGGGTACCAATGGACTTAATTACCCAATGCATTGCTCCTGAAGGATCCGGTGTCCCACAGTGAACCTACCATGCTTCTCAAACGGAACGTCATCTTCTACAAAGGGTTCAAAATCTTCCCGCTGCTTTATCATGTAGTCCACCGTCTCCTGTCTGTGCTTGAGATGATTTCGTGAGTGACCCTCCAATTGATCACCAAGAGCTCTGAACAGGCAATTGCTGTCAAAACAAAAATGACGGTCAAGACCTTTCAAAGCTGACCTTGCTTCATCTAAAAACAATGATGCTCCATGCCAGTCAGCCCATGAGAATCTCTTATGCTCAGCAAAAGTAAGGTCTCAACTCTTAATATGCCAGGATCCTTTCCAAAGGCTACAGGGAGAGCTTAGGACAAATACATTACTTTCTTGAAAAGCAACAAAATAAGAAGTGATTCTTGCCTCTCTGTAACTTTCTATTAAAAACTTAACTTTTCTGAGTTGAACAGAAGTTATTTCTCTCCCATACATTTAAGTCTGAAATTCTTCTGAGAGTGATGAATTTGTATTTTGGAACTAGAGTATCATTGTTTTTCATTTGGAAGAGTTAACAATTTGGTGTGAAACTAGGTAACTTCAAATATATAAGGATGTATATTTTGGTGAGGAAGATGAGAAGAAGGGAGAATTTAAATAAGGGAGAGTCTGTAAATTAGAAAACAAGAAGCTTTGCATCCATCTAGGACAAGGTTCTAGAAGGAATCAGAATATACAGCTCTATAAACTGGACTGCCTGTCATCTACTGCTAAAATCTAACAATAGCCATCTTTTTTCAATGAGAGAGGGGAAAGAGGGCTAATAGATAAATCAAGTCTTTCTCCCAACTTTCTTTTAAAAGTTTTAGCAACTGCCGCAAGTCCATTCCTGAATCTAGTTTAACAGCTATAATTTGGCACAAAATTATATATGTAGTTATTTTATGTTTAATATACCAAAATTCATAGTATTCTGCACAGAATAATATTCTTGTTAAGAACTTTTAGTACCATGGACAAATGTTCTCCCATATAAGCCCAAAAAGTACACACAAACTATCTACTACACAAGCTCAACCATGATCATCTGTACCAACACAGTGAGAAACACAGAAATGTACACAAAGAGAAACACTGAAACAATCGCCTAAAAAGCCCTTACAATATGCCAGGGACTGCTGGGACCTCTTCACCAAATGCACTTAAGTGTTCACAACTCTGGCAGTTACCATTATGATTCCCCTAGTGCAATCTGCCTTAAGTCACAAAACTAGTAGGCGTAGGACCAAGGAGTCAAAGCCAGGCAGCCTGGCTCTACCCCACACTCTTGCTCAAATATGAACAGCAAAATATTAGCCGCAATTGTCCACAAGTAATAGGATTGTTAAATTTATTTTAATACACTTTTTACTCACCAAACTTGCTCTGAATCCACTAAAAGCAAGTCAGGAGAGGCCAAAATCATTTGTTTTTCTATTACAGTTACAAGGTAGGGACACAGGAAGCACGATAAATATATAACCTGGGTTCCCTTAGGGAGTCCATGAGAGCACCTGAACACTGGGAGAACAAAGCACCATTGCCCTATGGACTTCAGGAGACCCAGCTGTTCCCCAGGTCTGCACTCTGAGTACCAGCTTACAGCAGGGCTTCTGCACCTCTGCCCTACAGGCAGGGACGATGCTTGGCTGTGAGCACTGCCTTGTGTGCTGTAGTGCATCTTCCTCCCCACAAAGTACGACAACCAAAAATGTCGCCAGACATTGCCAAATATCCCCTGGGAGGCAAAACCATCCCTGCTTGAACACCACTGAGTTTCAGAGATATAGGTAAAGTCTTGCATTTCAGATCATAAAAATCACCATATTACAAGTACCACCCCAACAGCAGTGAACAAGCCTATAGCAAGATGCTATGCTCAGCTACTCAAATTATAATCAGACCAAAACGAAACAAGAAAAATAGATTGTGAACTTTTTCTTAAAGTATTATAATTTCACGTTATACCAAGTACTCAGTAAATATTCATACATTTTTTAAAATCTCTTGACACTTCCCAAATTATCCCACACAGAAAACACTACCCTCTGCACTGATAAAGACCAGTATCACCATATTTAAAGAGGGCTGAACCAGTTCATCTCATGGTACCTAAGCGAACAATGCGTGAGCAGGAGGTGGTTAGCTTCATGAAATCCACCCAAGAACTAGCATGATCACCGCAACACTCTCCAACAAACATGGAGTTCAGAAGTGGGACACAGAAGTACTCCAGTTGTGGTGCTTCGATCCTCGACCTCCACCCTTGAATTCCACACTCCTGCCATCCAATGTAACATGTTCAGAAGTCATGTGTTCCTGGGCCACTGTGCAGACTACTCAACCTTCAGTGTCCTCTGAGCCATGCCTACTGACCTCCAAGACCCAATCATGAACCATACCTCTGAGAGGTGCCCAGCAGTATAATAAATAAGCATCTGCTGAAGGAACGGGAGGGCCTCCTAAACCACTTAAGACTGGAGTGTCAGCTGCTACCTTCTTAACAGTACGACCAGAGTCTGGCACAGTTAGTAAGGCTAGTTCACAATGTGCTATTTAATAACATCTGTTCCCAAAGGGTGACAGCCCAGAGAATTAGGGAGGTAGGAAGGCCTTCTAAGACCCTTTCAGGATACGCATGAATGCAAAACCATGCTGTTTACCTTCTTCATCCTCGTTACCTCACAAACATACAGCAGAACTTTCTAGAGGCCACCTGATCTGTGATGGACAGCTACTGGAATTACGTTTCCATGCTCCTGTGTTCAAAACTGTGGGCATGGTGGCATACACCTGTCATCCCGGCATTCTGGTAGGCTGACGCAGGCGGATTACAAGTTCAAGCCTAGCCTGGGAAAACTTACCAACTCTGTGAGTCTCTGTCTCAAAACATTTAAAAAGGGTTTGGGATATCGCTCAGTGTGAAGGCCTGAACTTTCCAGTACCATAAAAAATATTAATAAAAAATGGAAGTGTTTTAATTTGTAATGCAATATACATGATAGCTGTAACCCATATAAACAAAGAAGTCTAGAGTTCCCCAGTTACTTTTAAGAATACAAAATAGGACCCATTATTATATTTCTCCCCTAGTAAACTATGAATTCCTTACCTACCTTAGCTAACATACTCCACACACCTTGCTTAATATGTGATGAACTGGAGAAATATGCTCTCTTAGGACAGGACAGGTAGTACCCCATGAGCATATGAAAGCCCCTGAAAGATTCTACAAATCCCTGTACTTGATGCCTGCACCTGCTGAGCCTCTTGCTAAGCACTTGTTTCCCGGCCCCGACAAGAAGAATACACTGCTCAGTATACCACACAAACAATCCAGTCATTTCCACTGTATGCATTTGGTGTTACACTTTACACAGCAGTGTCTTGTGCTTATAAATGAGCAAGGTGGCCACTCTCTATACCTTTATTATTCTTCATTCAGCAAAAATATACCGAATGACTTTTATGTACCAGACACTCTGCTGGATGGTGGTGAGTAAATATAATCAAGGTCTAATGGAAACTTAAAAAGACCAAGGCAGGAGAGCATGGCAAACTCTGAATGGAGAAAAATACAGTTTGCCTCAAGCACTAAGAGAAAGCTGGGAAAGATTAGGGTCAACTAGTTTTGATCAATAAGCTGCAATAGAATGTAAAATTGAGAAAAATTTCTTCCTCAATGTATACCTATGGAGATTCTGTACGGCTTTTAGCTTCATCTTATTCTTTCCTCTGGCTAACCTGAATCCACCCCTCCCCCCCAACGAAGGGAAGAAAAAGCAGGGGCAAAACTATCAATTCTATCTCTTGCAGCGGCACTCCTGGCAACCAGACTGCAATAGGAATGCTGTTTTCCTCTCCTCCTGTATCCTCTTCTTTCCTCCACCCATCCTCCAAGATCCGTATCTATTTTCTCAAAGTTACTTTTCCTTCACCTACAGCCTCCACTCATTTATCCAGTGTTCGCTAAAAAAAAAAAAAAAAAAAAAAAAAAAAAAAAGTGGACCCTGGATTCCAGTTTGAGCCCCCATGCAAGCTTGGGTAAGCTTTTTTGCGTAGAGAAACTAAAGCCCCTAGAAGTAAAAATAAGGTAAGCTGCCTTCAGCTCGGTAAGCAACAGAACCTCACAAAACTCATTTCCCAAATGCAGAAGGGGGGTCATACCCAAGAGCAAGGAGCAAGGGGATCCTACGCCTCTATTTGTCTTATCCTCATTATGACCGCTCCATCTCATTCTTTCAAGTTTCGGCTTAAATGTCACCTCAGCGAGGCGTTCTGCTCCAGTGTTCTATCTCAGGACCCATTTCTACTTCCCTTGCAGCGACTGCCACCACTGGGAAACTCTGGGGTCATTGCCTCGGGGCGACGGGCGCCCCGCTCCCGCCGGACCCCACATCAGCGCTGCGGCTGGCTCGCGGGAGGCGCTCGGGCTGCCTGAAGAAAAGGACGGACGGAGCGGGCGACGGAGGCCAAGCGATGCCCGGCGCGGTCCCCCGGCGCGGTCCCCCGGCGCCGCCTCCCGCGCTCCCGGCCCGCCTCACCCGTCCCCCGGCACCTCCCGCAGCTTCAGCCCCAGGGCCTGCAGCTGGTTAGCGAAGCTGACGAACTCCTCCTCGCAGCCGCCGCCACCGCCGGGCTCCGGTCGGTTCCGCCGCTCCTTGGCCAGGGCCCGGCGCGCCGCCCGCTCATCCCGCTTGCGCTCGGCCTCGGCTTTCCGGCTGCCGCTGCCAGGCCTGCTCCTCGCTACCTGCTTTCGGGACATGATCTTGGCCCGCTGCCGGCAGCGGCAGAAGGAAACGCCACAGGACCGCGGGGTGGTGGCCTCAGTTGCCGAAGAGGCGAAGCGGCGGTGGCGACGGAGCCTGGCGACAGCGATAAGACCACTGCGCCTGCGCGCGCACCAGGTATTGCGTCACGTGACGGAGCCCACGCACCTCCCTCCCCCCAGGCTCGGCTGGTAAGAACCATAGAGAGAGCGCCTAGGCGGGCTAGATAGACACATATCTTGATCTGTTTTACTCTTCCCCCTAGCGGTGGCAGCTACTCAGTGTGGAGCAGATAAAACCAACGAGAACAAAACTAGAAAACGTCAAGGGCAGGCATGACATGTACGATACTGCTAGTAATACAAGAGCGGGAAAGAAGAGGAGTAACAAGAGTTAGGGAAAGAAGGAAACAAAAGAAAAAGTGAGCTTGCAGTTGGGATAAGCCATGATTCATTCATGTTGAATTACCCCCCAAATTACAGGAAACTGAATTTGAGAGGTTAAGTAAGTGCAAAATCACAGACCCTGGCCCTGCCTCCAAACCCAGATACTTGCTTATTTAACCCTGCTGTTCTCCATCTCTCCTCTTTCCCTTATAATTCAAAAGAAGGGCAGCTCTTCTGCCCAAGAATAATGGCTCCTCCAGTAATCTGAATTCTACTCTAGGGTGACCAACCTAGGTTTGCCTGAATTAAGAGTTTTCCTGCGATGCGGCACTTTTGTTTCTAAAATTGAAACACTGCGGGACACTCAGGAGGCTGAGGCACGAGGATTGTTGGAAGTTTGAGACCAGCCTGGGCTGCAAAGTGAGCTCAAGGACGGCCTGAACTGCATAGTGAGGTCCTGTCTCAAAAAAGAAAAAAAATTTAAAATGTCATGCCACAGCAATATGTATACACCCATGTTTTAGTGGCACAGTTTGTAAGAGTTAAACCTTGGAAACAGCCCAACTGTCTGTCAGCCAATGAATGGATAAAGAAGATGTGCAATTTTTTTATACGATGGTGTACTACTCTGCCATGAAGGGTAAGCTCCAGACATTTCTAGCTACATGGCTATGCCTTAAGTCCATACTCTGAAGTGAAATAAATTGGACACACATATGGAAACACTGCTTTGTTTCTTTGGTGTGAAAAACCAAAAGTGTAAATAAAGACCCAAACCTATAATAGATATTGTGAAATTGGAAGACAGTGTCCCAATGGAAAGGGGACCAAAGGACCCACCTGTTCTGGCACCTAAGTCTATCAGAAATCCCCTCTTCTCCTTCATCTCTTTGTCCTCTAACCCAACTCTTTTTATTATCCCAGCAATGTTCCTAATGTTTCTCCCTTTCATTGTCTTATTTCCTCGTTGTCTTAATTACTTTTCTTGTTGCCGAGACAAAATGCCTGACACCTAAAGTGAAAAGAAGAAAGGTTTACTTTTGCTCACAGTCTGTAGAGGTTTCAGTTCATAGTCACCTGGATGAAAGGCAGAGCAGCATGACAGAGGAGAAGTAGTCTACGGCATGGTAGACAAGAAGCAGCAAACAGTGAGCCTCCCTTTCCCTCCTATGCCATCCAGGCTACAAGCCTATTGGTGTGACCCATACCCAGAGTCAGCCTTCCCATTATCCACACCCAGAACTATGCTAAACTAATCAGTGGAGTGATTTAGTTATCACACAGCTTTAATCCAAATTCACATACCCTAGACCCAGCCATCTCTGAAAAGCCCCACCTATTGGCACATGAGGTATTGGGGAGACATCTAGATACAAGCCATAACACTTGTCTACCCGCATGTTTCCATCTGGCAATGGCTTCCTCCATTTCAACTAGCATCTTTATTTTACTCATTGATATGTAGATAATTCTAACTCCTGTGCTTGTGCCAGGTGTAGCATGGAATTAGAGACATGAAATTGCTTCCAGGATGACAATATCAAATGACAACTGTGATCAGGGAAAGGTGGAGCTGGAAGCAGTACACATGCCTGCAATCCTAGCACTCTAGGAAGCTGAAGCAGCAGGATCACCATGTTCAAGCTGAGCCTGGGCAACCTAGCAACTTAGTGAGCCCCTCTCTTGAAATAAAAACAGTTGAAAATACAGCCCAGTGCAAAGGCCCTAGCTTCGGTCCCCAGTATTGCAAAAAAAAATTGAGAGGAAATGGGAGGCAGGTTAGATGATGTCAGGGAAGAAGAAAGGGGAAAAACTGGAGTGAAAATTACAATAGGCTTCCCTGAAAAACTAGCTGCTAAACTAAAGCTTAAAGGGTGGGCAGAATTTGGTCAACCTAAGGAAGTTCTGAATGCACCTCCAAGATTAGAGCTGAGCTTTGAGGAACAGAAGGAACTTGGGGCTTGAGCTGTAAGGCAGGAAACAGAAGAGAGGTTCACACTGTGGTTTCGATGTGAACTGTCCCCCAAAGATTCATGTGCTGGAGGGCTGGTCTCCAGTGTGGCAGTGTTAAGGTTGTGGAATCTTCAGAGTGAGGCCTACGGTAAGGTATAATTGTCACAAAAGCACTGCCCTCGTGGATGGATTACTGCTCTCTTTCTAGAGCATGTTGTTTTAAAGAGAAGCTCCACATACCTTGGTCTTTTCTGCAAAGGCCAGTTCCCTTTCTACTTCTCCACCATGCTGTGACACAGCCGGGGAGTCTTTGCCAAGACACTGGCACTGTGCTATTTGGACTTAGCAGTCACTAGAACTGTAGACCAATAAATCTATCTACAAAGTACCTAACCACGGATATTTTGGTACAGCAACACAAAGTGAACTAAAGCAACTCAGACCTGGAAGGATCTTACAGGCCAAATGGAGAGTTTTAGCTTAAGTTCTTAGAGTCCTGTGAGCCACTGCGAGGTTTTAACCAGGGGAAGGACATATCATGACTTCATGTACAAATCTGTGACTGTATTGTGATTGTAGCAGAGAAAAGGTGGGATACCAGGTAGGCATGTAGCTTTCTTCCCTTGCCTTGTTTCCCCCTCTTGAGACAGGGTCTCACTGTGTGGTTCACGCTGACTTTGAATTCACTAACCCAGGTCACAGGCTGGCCTTGAACTCATAGCAATCCTCTGCCTCAGCCTCCCCAGCACTGGGATTCCAGGCATGCACCACCATGCCTGCCTAAGCTCACCCTTTCCTAAGGGTCCATCCTGACCTCCAACAGTGGGCCCTCTGCTTGCATTTAGTTGGACAGGGTGGTAGAGACTTAAGTTCTAGTCCAGGTCTTTCATTAACTGACTCTGTGATATTGGATTATTTTGCTTAACTTCCATAGCCTCCCTTTCCCCGTTGTTAAAACAGGAGTAAGCATAGGGAGCTCCAAAAGCAAGTTTAATGCTAATAATAACATACTTATATCCTGTTACTAGGTGCCAGGTACTATCCCAGTTTCTTTGTAAATATTATCCTATTAGCTGTTAGCTTAGTGTGGTGGTATACTGTGTAATCCTAGCCCTTAGTAGGCTAAGGCAATGGAATTGCTGCAAATTCAAAGCTAGCCTGGGCTACAAAGTGAGTTAAAGGCCAAAATGAACTACATAGCAAGATACTGTCTCCTTGAAAAAAAATATAGGGGCTGCAGATTTAGCTCAGTGGCATAAAGTGCCTGCCTGGCAAGTGCAAGGTCATGAGTTTGATTCCCAGTACAAAAATATGTATAGATAGATAGACAGATAGATAGAGATATAGGTATAGATATATAGATATGTATCCTATTTAATCTTTACAGCAACCCAGTGAAAAATATATACTATTTTTATCTTCACTATATAGCTGAGAAAATTACAGCACAGAGAAGTTAATTAACTTTCTTAAAGTCACATAACTCATAAGTGACAAAGCTAAGATTTTTCAATAGGAAATTAACAGTGGTTAATATATTGCATGTTGTTATCTTCCAAGTAGTTGCTCAGATTACAAGATATAAGCGTGTATAATTGATCAAACAATATAAGCACAAACCCATTTTAATGAACTAAAAGAAATCAGTAGTATAACTATCTTAGCTATCTTTTGTGTGTATGTATTTTTTCTTTCCCCTTCCTTCTCTTCTCCTTTCCCCCATCCCAGTTGCTCTTTCCTTTTGAGCAATTTCTTTCCCTTTCACAATATCTATTGTAGATTTTGGATCTTGTTTACTTTTTCAGTTTCTTACACGATGGAGACAGTATGATGTTTACACATCATCTTGAGTTTGACTTGTTACACTTATGAGTATGGGCTTTAGTTGCATGCATTTACCTGTGAATGCCTCTAGTTTAGCCTTCCTTATAGCTGAGTAGTACTCCATTATATAAAAATATCACATCTTTTTTATCCATCCCTCAGCATTTAGGTTGTTTCCAGATTTAACTATTACAAATTGTGTTGCTATAAACATGGGTGCACATATCACTGTGGTTTGATGTTTTTAATTGTTCTGGGAAAATACCCAGAAAGGGAATAGCTGGGTCAATGGACCTCTAATCCTAATTTTTTTAGAAATCTCCACACTGATTCCCACAATAGTTAAATCAGTCTACACTCCTATCAACAGTGAAGAAAGGTTCCTTTTTCCCACAGCCCTGCCAGCATTTGTTATTGGTTGATTGCTTGATGACAACCATTCTGTCTGGGGTGAGATGGAATCTCAGAGTCGTTTTAATTTGTACTTCTCAAATGATCAATGATGTTGTGCATTTTTTCATATATTTATGTGCCATTTGTATTTCTGCATCTGACAAGAATATATTCATCTCAGATGCCCATTTTGGACTGGGTTTTTGAAGTTGGGGGACCTGATATTTTTTCAATTCTTTATATGCTCTAGATAGAAGTCCTTTGTGTGAGGGACAGTTAGCTAAATTTTTTTCCCACTGTAGGTTTTCTTTTCACTCTGTTGGTGGTTTCTTTTGATGTGCAAAATCTTTTTAATAAGATGAGATCCCAGTTGTTGATTCTTTGAAGTACTTCCTGTGCAGTGAGGTTTGACAAAGTTGAGGTTTGTAGCCATCTGGCTTTGGTAGGTGCTCCTAACCACTGTACCTTACACATACACCTTTCCATAAACTACAAACACTCAGCACAACACATGACTTTATTTCCTTAGTAGCTTCCTTCTCTTGGCATATTTTTTTTTAACAACACAGTGTTTCTA